GGATAATAATCTGAATGAACTGACGGTACTGATTACGTTTTCAGGTGTATTTTCTCATTTAAACACATATTAAAACTACTTTATTCCAAATGATCACAGCAAATATAGCTGCAAGGCAGAGAAAGGATAGTGAAGCTCCGCCCAACGAGCGTCAGACACACTTTTGCACCGCACAGCCAGAGCAGCAAAGCTGCTTCAGCCGCGCGTCAGAACTAACTGGTTCAAGCAGCAAAAATGAAGCAGCAGACACGATTTTGCTGCGTCCGATGTGAACGTAGCATAACTGCACAAAGATCGCCACTGTGCTAGCAACGAGCATGCTTTTAACTCGGGGGTGTAGCAGTTCTCGGCCGTAAAGCAAGACTGACTCTCACGAGACTTCTGAGCCTGTGGGTGCGGGTCGGTGCTCCTGCAATTGCAAGTGCGGTTTTTCCCCCACAGACCACCAGGGCGGCCGAGAATACCTTTGTTCAACCTAAAATGACTCATTTAATCATCCAAAACGTTATGGAACACATTAACTGAAAAATGTTGCATAGTGTGCCTTTAATCAGTGCAGTCAGTTCATCCAGATCAGCCGCTCAGACCCCCACATACCGGCGGTTCGCTGTCAGTAGGAATCCCATTCAACAGCAGCCTCTGGCCCGGTCGCCTCCTCGCGGTTCGCCGCGGCGGCTGGAAGGTGGTTTTCAAGAACATAATCCAAACTGCAGGCACATGGATAATAAAAGCGAACATGTTTTGTCGGCAGGTTTCAGCATTTTAACTTAATTTAGGAGTTAATAAACTGTTTCAAAGGAGTGATCACACCACTCTGTATCATCAGCGATGTGTCTGTCTCCCTGCCAGCTCCCAGAACAGCTTCTCTGATTGGTTGATGCAGCGCGTCGAGCAGCAAAAGTTCAATTTTACCACCTCGAGCAGCAGCGTGTTTGCGGCGCGTTGCGCACGTCAGATGCTTAAAAGTTCCCGACGCGCTGCTTCAGCTGCTCAGACGCGCTGCGCCTGCTGCTCAAAACGCGCTGCGGGACTTTTTGCCGCACCTTGACGCGCGTCAACCATTGACTTTGCATGTAAACTCGCTGCTTCTGCTGCTTCCGGTGTGAACGCAGCATGTGTGTTGTTGCTTTCTTTTAAAAATATGCCACCCATATATTTTCCCCTCCCAAAAAAAAATCTAAATTTTTATGCTTCCATACGGTCTGTGGTTTAAAATTGGATACTTTTAAATGGCATAGGTTTTGTATTGTTTTTTTGGATTCTTTTGACTTGTGATTTGATCATAGTATTGTCAGCTCTCATTAACAATTATAATAGCAACACAGAGACGCCACCATTTGTTATGACTTATTGTGCTGCTTTGCGACATCTACACAGTCTTTCTGTACATGTGGGTGGCTTTGTGGCCCTGGACCATTTATACTGGATTTTAATGGCGACAGGAAAAAAAAGGTTTCAGCCAAAAAAATCAGAATTGAAAATCAAAGGGTATTTTAAATGAGTTCTCACAACAGGAGGACCTAACATTGACATAACAACCAACAGGATGGCATTGTTGTCAGTTTTAACTTGGCATCCCCAAAGTCGGTCCACAATGGCCATTGTGCTGCAGGTTTTAGAGGTTTCCCTGCTTTAGCACAGCTGATTCTGATTATTGCAGTTCAGCAAAAACCTGTTAATCAGCTATCAATGAAAATCAGCTGTGCAGAAACAGGGAAAGCTTTAAAACCTGCAGGACAGTGGCCCTTGAAGACCGACTTTGAGGATGCCTAGTTTAAACTAACGTTAAATTAGTAAGAACGTTCCACTTGAGAGCATCAATGCTGCCCCCTTTTGGTATTAGAGGGGAACTGCTTGTTCTTGTGGCAGAGAATTGTGCCATGAGGGTGAACATACGCAGCCCAGGCCACTACCTAGCTCCTCCCTTGCCAAAGGTATGATATAGCTCCCAATGGTGCATTCACTTTACCTATAAACTTGGAACGACTTAGTCAGAGTGACTTTATCTCTGATTTCCTGCTTCTAGGTGCTATTGTTGGCCATTATGGCCACTGTTGTGAGCATAAAAATGACAGAAACACTATTTTACGTGGTATTCCATTTACTAAACGGAAGGTATCAATCTCACTATGATAGGATTTGGTTTGGCTTAAATTCGTAAGGAAATCATATTTAAATGTCAAATCATTCTTGCTTAAACATGCATGTAAATGTTCTCTTTATTACACTATATTGTCCAAAAATTTTGAAAATTTATATTTAAAAGAAAAATCCTGTCTTAAAATCTGTTTTTTTTCCTTATCTTCTGAAGGCCAGTTAGTTATACGTCAGCCTGAACAACTAAATTAGGCCAATCATATATCAACGGTCATCTGTCAACCATTTTTTTTTTGGTCATAGCATCTTGATTCATATGTTGCAGCTAATATGCGCAACGGTTGAAATAAGAAATAAGAATCATTTCCTTTCCCACTGAGTTCTGTCCCAGTGTTTACGGGGATGGACGTCTGTGTCTTCAGCAGGCGTAGAGCTAACAGAACTGGCAGCGTTACGAGGCAAGGGCTCAAACATGGACGGCTGGAAGCCTTCTACACCAAACCAAGCTTCTGCCGCCCTGGCGTCCTCTTCCACAACATCTTCATCCCCGCTTTCCTCCTCTAAATAAAAAATGTATGACGGAGGAGACTCCTCCACGACCTCCGACACTAAACTCTCCTCCTCTTGCATGTTTCCTCTGTCCATAGCGTTCCTTGACAGTGTCGTTTTTCTAAGTCACCAATTTAGTGCTACTTGGTCCCAATGTAATTTCCCATGGGGAACCTACTAGCACTAATTTGTTAACTGGTTAGCAAAATGCTCCCAACAAACTGGCCACAATCAAACTTGTGAACCTTCGGCCACAACAATCCTGCCCCCTTGATAAACGACCAATCACATTCACTTTATTCACTCGTGTAAAGTCGTGCACCACTCGGGAGAATTCGGAAATGCAACGGTTGGAACAGCCGGTTCCCTACGACTTTGATTAGAAAAGCAGCAATGTTTTTTATGGAAAACCTGCAGAGATCGCAGTTCAAGCTTATTCCAAACAGGAAAAAAAAGTCTCTGTGCACACCAACCATCTGGCTTTGAAGAAAGCATGACTAAAAGCCATCATCAACACACCTTGATCCCAGTGAGACTTTTTATGGTAGAAGCTTTGTGCTATTTAGCTTAAATGGTATAATGCTAGTGTCAAACTTTCACTGGTTAAAAGTTTTATTCTCTGGTAGTGGTGGTTCTAGACCTCTTATTTTGTGCTAGACCTCTTATTTTGTGCTAGACCTGGTTCTAGATCTAATCTCTAGACCTAACCTAATTTTACCAAGGGGGTTGGGGTGAGGCTAGTGTGTCTTCGTGGGAGCTCAGAGCAAAACAATAGCACAAAAAAAGAGGGCAATAGTTAATTTTCTCTTATCAATAACCTAAAAAAATCTGATGGCTTTGGAGAACCTCGTCTAGTAGATGAAAACTGTTTTTAGCTCAATATAGATGTAACTAAAAGTGCGACACCTTCTTTTTATAAATCATGTATACCCTAACTTTAAAAAAAATAAAAAATTAGGTACAGCTTCTTGTCACTTCTTTGCAAAGGTACATTATCATATAAAATGTATTTAGTATTATGTTTTCAGTGTAGGGGCCATAATAGGGGCCAGGACCAATTCTATATAAGATTTGTAGCAACAATTGATTTTATGTTTGTTTAAAGGAGAAGTTCGGTTTTTAACACTTTTAGCCCATTTTCTGTAGTGTCCAAGATGAAATCGAATGATCGACACCAAAATTTTGACAATTGGTCCTGTCTCTGCTTTTTGGCTCATTTAGAATCCACCCCTGGCTGCTTTAGAATGGCTTCCATAGAGCATGTCCGATAATGTCCTTAAAACAACCTTAAACGTTCTTTTTTTTAAATATGCTACTCACCGGGTCGTCAGCGCTGTTCAATGACGTTCCAAAAAAAGTTTTGTGAAGAAAAAACGTTCCTGTAGTGTTTTATTTAGCATTTTGTAAATCCCATTGAGTTCTGTTGGAATAGTCAATATTCCCCTGCCACCGGAAATGGAAATGGGGCCTGTTTACACAGTTGTAGTCTTTTCGCTTCACTCTGTGTACTCCGACGTCGAGGTGCTAACGTCTCTGTTAAACACTTTAAAAAACTCTGAAAATGGAATACGAAAGGTGGATTCTTGATTCTCGACTATTCCAACAGAACTCAATGGGATTTACAAAATGCTAAATAAAACACTACAGGAACGTTTTTTCTTTACGAAACTTTTTTTGGAACGTCATTGAACAGCGCTGACGACCCGGTGAGTAGCATATTTAAAAAAAAGAACGTTTAAGGTTGTTTTAAGGACATTATCGGACATGCTCTATGGAAGCCATTCTAAAGCAGCCAGGGGTGGATTCTAAATGAGCCAAAAAGCAGAGACAGGACCAATTGTCAAAATTTTGGTGTCGATCATTCGATTTCATCCTGGACACTACAGAAAATGGGCTAAAAGTGTTAAAAACCGAACTTCTCCTTTAAGACATTAGTCAAAAATCATGAGTTATTTTCTTTCCCCATTAGAAATATCTGTTAGTTAGAAAACACATTAAAGTTCATGGCTATTAACTTAATGTGAACAACATTAAAGGATAGAAACCCTACTTTTGCACAACAGGGTGCTTTTTAATAATGCTGTAATATGTTAAATTATATGAGTAAAATTAGTCCAACAGTTGGGAAAATCCTGCTCCACCAACATTCAGTTATTTGGTTCTCATAAAGTATTTTTTTTATGGAAATAATGCCTAATATATTTTTCCTTTCCCTGGGAAGAGAAAGGAGACAGAAAGATGTCAGCAAAAACTGTAAGTTCGGAGCCTCGGCAGAAACAAACCCTCCAACCCACACATCCAAACACTGCAGTGGGTTTACAGCGCAGTCAGCATGAAGGCGGTCAGCTGCTTACCTGCAGGAGAACTGCAGAGATGTGCGCCTGGAGTCCTGGAGGTCCTCAAATCGATGCCTCCCGCAGCATCAGCAGCAGCATCCCACTCTCATCCCCTCGATGGTCCCTCCCCCTTCCTCTCCTGTCCCCTGCCTCTATCCCGGGACTTGGCCCACCGCCTCAAAATAGCGCTTGAGGATTTACCAAAAAACAAACAAACAAAACAGCCGAACCGCCGCCTTCCTCCCGCTCCGTCCTGCAGAGCTACCTTTCTCCTCACCGCTCGGTCACTGATCGGAACCGGGATGAGAAGCTCTCATCTGCGTCCCTCCGCATCCAGCGCTCCTTTGGTTCGGTTCGGTTCGGCTCGGTTGTTCCGCAGCTCATTTAAAGTGTGTCATTCCAGGAAAGCTCAGCGCACGAACCAGGCCATGGTTTATGCAGGCAGAGCGGAGACATCCAGCAGGAAATCCCTCTCCTGCACAAACTGCATCAGCTTTAATGTGCTGTCAGCTGAAAGTAGGCAGTCCATCGGATTTAAATATTTATATGGGCCAAAAATCATTTCTTTTGGACCGCACATTAAAAGCATTGGGAGACCGTAAGCACAATAAGGTATCTTAAAATAAAATTTGGAGAAATTTAGGAGGAAAGCATTCTGGGGCTGCAACTAACAATTATTTTGCAAATCAATTAATCTGTCGATTATGTTTTCAATTAATTGATTAAAAGTTGGATAGCCGAAGGTTCTGTAAGCAAGATTTTTACTAAATTAACCAGAGGAAACTTTGGATTTAACATATTGACAGACGAAAACATTTTTTTTTATCTTAATTGTACAATGTTTACATATATATATTTTAAAATTATGGTATAATAAGTGCTCAAAGGTTGGTTGCTCTGTCAGCTAAAGGCTTGTTTTACAGTCTCTATACACCATTTAACGAATAATTGATTACTAAATTATTTCAAAAATTACCATTAAGGATTAATTCTATCAATTGTTTCAGCCCCAAAGCATTCCTTACTTACTCCATTTATATAAGCTATAGCTATTAAACAAACTATAGCCTATAGTTCAAAATGTTTAGAATATTCAGATTAAGACTTTTATACTTTCTTCATATCTCAAACTAAGTGTGACCTCTGATTTGGTTGATTCCTGCACTAGCTACGGTCTGTTATGGTAAAGGAAAAGCTGGTAAGTCCATACAAAACACTTTCAGGTAGATTACCCTAAAGTTAGCCTCTGATTAAAAGGCATAAATAAACAAGCTCAGTCTTATTTCAGATATATCAGTTTCGCATGTTCTAAATGGAGCACTTTGCTTGACACTTCCCTTTTTTTGATCAAACTTATAGTAAGAATAGTCCAGGTTATTGTGAGCTATCACTATAACTATGCTGCTATAGGCTTAGGCTGCTTGAAGACTTGGGGTCACCTTTAATCATTCTGCTTTATTCTAACTACATTCTCCCATTCGGCAATATTTTTCAGTAGCTTCATCTCATCTGCTCCTGTTTAGCAGTGACACAGTCTTGGAGTTAAAATATCAGCCGGGTCGCTGCAATCAACGCCTTTTTTATAGTTGATAGAGTTGGGCCTGTTTATACATGTTTGGTCTTGTTTCTATCATATAAATAGCTTTAGGTTCATCCCTTTGACATGAAAACTGTCTCAGAGCTCATCTGCTTAACTGTTTCTTTCCTAAACAGAGCCACCTATGGAGCTACACTGCAAAAAACTTCTAGAAATAAGTCACATGTCTTAAATTAAGTGTATTTCCCCTTAATTTGTGTAGGTAAATAAGAGGATTTGCCAATGCAATGAGTATTTTTTTTTTTCTCTTAAAATAAGATAATTCGATAATATGCACTTGAAATAAGACAATGCAAGCGTTTCTTATTTTATTTTAAATGTAAATTGTCTTTTTTCATCGGTAAAGTTTCTCACTTACCTCCTCAAGTCAAGAAAAAATTCACTTATTTTAAGAAAATAATTACTTATTTAGATTTTTATTTTTTCCAGTGTAGTTTACCTTTGCTCTCATCAAAAGTATTTATGTATCAGTGCTTCTATGTTTCTTTTGTATGTCTGCTTCTGTCTCCTTGAACCCCCAGTCTGTTAGGATCCAGAGGTTTGCCCTCCAGAGGGCGACATGGATCCCTTTCTGTGGGCTTCTGTTGTCTGTTGGGAGAGCTTCCCTGTTGGGAGAGCTTCCCTCTGAGCCGGATTGTTGTTCCCTGTTGTGGTTAGCAAGCCTGAGCCATCCTGCCCGTTCTGACTCCGTGAACCTGTACCTGAACCTAACCTACTTTGTCTCCTCCGCTCCCCAGGAGGAACCCTGTCTGGTTTTTCCAATAAACAATTGGACTTTTAACCTGCCTCTCTGTGTCTGTGTGTTCTGCGTTTGGGCTAGAAATCCTGCCTGATCATGACACAGTCAGCATCAGTAGAAGGCCGCTCACGCTAAGCCTGCTTCTGCTGGAGTTTTCTTCCTGTTAAAAGAGAGTTTTCCTCTCCCCTGTCGCTGCATGCATGCTCACTGTGAGGGATTGCTAAAGACTCTATGACAAATTGGAGATGAATATCTATTGTTGCCACACGCTCATCCAGGAGGAGTGAATCCTGCAAAGTAAATGACTGCATGACATCAACTGGTTTAAATGGTTTTTTTTTACCAATCCGACTTCATGACCTGATTGACTGTCTCTGTAAAGTGCCTTGAGATTGATGTGTATTATTTTTTTTTTTTTGTCTTTTTATTTTTTTGTTTGAGGTTTTAGACATTACACAATGGCTCTAATGAACTTTGGCTTAAAACTATTTTATTTTTTTATATACATATGGTCTGCTTTAAAGTTCCTGCCTGTTTGTTTGCTCTTACAGATGATCTCAAGATATGATGGAACCTATTTTTTAATTGTTAATCATGGCGATGTCAATGGAACATGGCTCTATTTGGTGTGTATTTGTTATTATACTTATAGTGGAGGACTTTCACGTAGTTTTGAAAAGACCCATCTCCACTTTCAAACAAAAAATGCACATGCACAACCCTGTACTTGCTCCCGAGAAGGAACAGCAATTAAACACGTGCAAGAGCGTGCACAAGCCCATTTCTCCTCGTGCACGCTCTGTTTAAAATTTGCTGTTTCCATCGCTCATACAAATTTACTTTCCAAAAGAAGTTTTGCAATTTTTTCATTATGTCAGACTCACCACTGGTAAGTGAGAATGGGGACGAGCGAGTAGGACGGCTTTACGTAAACATATCACCAGAATGATTGATAATTAGGGGGACCACTTACTGTATTTTGATGATCCACTTGGAAAAAGAAAATCCTCCACTTTACCCTTAAAGATTTGGATGTTGACCCACAGCAATAATTGCAATTCATAAAAAAAAAAGTAAAAGCAGCAACAACAACAAAACGCGTACAGTTTAAGAATGCTGATAAAGATGCATGCATTTAATAACAGTTGTTGTAAACAGCTCTATATCTCAAAAGGTTGGGAATAAAGGTTTAGCCAATGCCTTTGGCATCAGAGATGCTTGAGTTCATGATCCTCTGCAGTTTGAGATGTATTCATAGTAAAGTCATTGAATATTTCGACCGAAAACGGAAGCAGTAGGAAGTTTGCCACCAGTGATCTTTCTGTCTTCCTACTCAGAACAAAACATCGAGAGAAGAGTAGAATTATTTACACTGAACACAAAATTCAATCACCTCCCACTGCTCTGTGCGGGAAATACAGTAAGGTATAAATAATTCCCAACTTAAAAAAAATTTACTTTAAATTTGAATGAAAAAAGTACATTTAAGAGTTAGTGTGGTTCATTGTTTTACTCTGTATAGCCAACACACATTCTAATTGTTCTTTAATTGTATTAGTCCTCTATATAAACACACAGCTCAGTGTATTTAGTTAAGTAATCTTTTGTGATTATCTCTCTTAACTGTGAAGTAGAATTAAATTAATGAAGAGTCTGCATATTTTGCAAATAGCTGTATGAAAAGCACAGCGCACACAGGCACTGCCACCAATTCCCTTTTCACATAATTAGTAAATGAAAGCCACTTCAACTGAATTTCAGTATAAATAAGAAGCAGCTGGGGGGTGGGGGGGTGGTTTAGTTTAAGATTTTACCACATTCTTTGTGAGGCTCCAATCATGTATCCCTTAAGTCCATACCTGAGGATAATCGCTGCGTTTTGCTTCCTGTGCAGCTATGAGTCTGCACTTTGAGCCAAAAACAAGCTTTTAAAGCAGTCTCCCTCTTTCTGTTTTTTTTTATTCTTTTTTTTTTTATAATAGCTCTTTTCTGAAGTCTCTTCACAGACCATCATCCATTTCCATCACATTTGCTGCAAGCTGTGAAAAAAAAAGAAGAAAAAGAAAAAAATGCAACTAAGCGGATGTGAGGATCAATGATTTAAGAGCCTCTGGAAAGATGGACATTAAAAGAACAAAGCAGGATATTTTTTATAACCTCCAATGCCTCAGTTTAGCTGCAACTTCTTTTTTTTTTTTTCATCGCTATGGCCTATTTTATAAAGTGAAAATTGTCTTTGATCTTTTGTTGCGAGTGTAGAAGATCATTGGTAAGCTTCTCCTAATGTGCTTTGGAGGGATTAGAATATACTTTACAGAATGGGACAGAAATATAAAAACATTATCTACTCGGTTCATAAAGAAATAAGGAATATAAATTATGATAATAAAAAAAAATACTACTGGCTGCACAGGTTCAGCCATTGCACCTTCCTTTACATTCTGACCTTAGCTGTTACTGTTGGATAGAAATCTGCTGGTTTTCGCGGTAACTTCTGCCTGACATTAAGGTTCAAACAGTTCGGCCAGATTGAGAAAACTCCTTCCTGTCATTTGGTTTTTGGAGACAGCAGAAAAATAAATTCCAAAAAGTGAACAAAAAGTAATAAAAATCTTCCTTAGAATGGTTTTATGCATTTTCTTTCAGTAGGTAGAGTAGTAGCCGTTCAACATTTCCCCACTTTCTGATGGATCCTTGGCTGGTCCCCTACAATTCCTTTTTAAACATCAATCTTTGTATGAAAATATTCTTTCTGTCATGATTTGTGGACATTAGGATCTAAAGAGAAGCATCATCTGCTGGTCAGACCCTGTAATTCAGTGAAAGGGAGGAGTCAGAGAAAAAATATGCACGCTCGGGAGAAGGCCAGTGGCTGGAAGTTGGAAGGGATTTTGCTGGGAGCTGCAGGGAAGTTGGCTGCCATTCGGCTGGCGTTTGACTGGGAACGGCCATTTTTAATGACTGTTACTGTAAACACAATTTCTACTAGTGGAATAAAATGTTTACTTAAACAAAAAAATAAAAGAAATTAAAAACTAATTTTACATATGTTTTACAGTGCAGAATAAACAGTTTTCTTATTCTAGAGGCCTAAAAACTTGCTATAATGAAGGGCTATTAAATATTATTATATTACTTATTCTTTCCCAGTTTGTACAGTATG